AAAGACTAAGAATCATCACTAACAGCAACAGCTAATATTAATTAAGCACTCTTCCAATGTGCCAGGTAATCTTCTAAGAGGTTTAACGGATATTAATTCACATAATCTTCAAAACAACCCTGTGAGGTATATAATAATTCCAATTTTACATATTAAGAAACTGCAACACAGAAAGACTGCCCAAACTCACTCAGATTTAAGTGGTTGTCAGGATTAAAACTCTCTAGGTTCAAAATTTTCAATCACTACACAGACCTCTCTTCCTCTATCCAAAGACATACCCAAAACAAACTACAAACTTTCAGTTATAAGATAAATAAGTTCTGAAGACCTAATGCACAGCATGGTTACTATAGATAATAATAATAATGTATTATATACTACACATTTGTCAAGAGAGTATATCTTAAGTATTCTTGTCACACACAAAAAAAGGTAACTAAGAGAGGTAATGGATATGTTAATTAGTCGGTGTGGTTAGCATTCCATTCCACAATGTGTACATATATGAAAACATCATGTTGTACACCTTAAATATATACAATTTTTCATTTGTCAAAAATAAATAAAACAAACTCATGCTACCAAACCTCTAACATCAGGCTGGTACCAAAAATTTCCACTCATGGATTCCCTTGGGGGAAAAAAAAATCCCCACTCGTACTCCGTAATAATTACAGATGCCTAAAGCCCTAAACTACTACTCAACAAATCACAGTCAAAAAGAAAACATAAACGTTAACTTCCAATAGGGCTATTTCCATCATTAGAATCCTTGGAAAAGCTGTGCTCACAGAGCAACTTAATTTATAACACATGGTTAACTAACGGCAGAACTGAATTAAGTGGGCACTAGAATGGGGAATCTATAAATTAGGTCCCTGCCCTTAATTTGGTAGAGAAATCCTCAGGCCCAAATCAATAAGTAGATCATTCTTTTAAGCAGGATATTCCAAGGGAAGGAAATTAAAAAAATCTCGTGTCCTGAAAACCAAATGCATTTCACGGAAACAAAGAAGCAGCACAAACTCACAAAGAACCTGGCTTTTAGAGCTGCAGCAGCGATTCGGTTCACTTCACAGGCCTCCTCTGGAGACTGACGGGCTGGGGAAGCAAACAGCGTTCATTACACCGCAGGCGTTTCTTGTCTCGGTCAACAAACGTCCACGTCCCCTTGACCCTCGCTACCCACCACCTGCATACACAATGGAAACAGGGAGACGGAAGGAGGTCCTTGGTCACACGTATCCGGGTTCGCGGCTCTGGGTCCGCTGTAGTTCCGACACCACAACCGCCCACCCCCGGAGCTGCCCCACCGCGTCTTTGCAGGGCACTTTCACCCAGAGGCTCCACCTCCCACTTCCCTCAACGCCTGGGCCTGGGTAGGTGAGGCGAGGAAAGTGAAGCGCAGGACCTCCGGGTCGCGCATTACAGAATAGGCCGGGGAGGCGCCCGACTACCGCCGCCAGAGCTTAACCCCGCGGCGCCGGCGCCGGTCTGAGAACTACAAGCCCTCACTCCGAAGGAAACGCACAGTGGCCTGAGGCCCTCAATCTCGTCCGCAGAACCTGGCCTGTCCCGCGCTCGTTTCCTTCAGAAGAGAAGCGGCCGCCTCCGAGCCTGCCTCACCGCCCTCAGGCCTCGCCTGCCTCAGAGGACAGCCCAGCGCTCACGATTTCGGCGCTGGAACTCCGGGGAGTTCCTTCTCAGTCCCGGGTGCGCAGGCGCGCAGGGGGCGGGGGCAAGTCCCCAGGCTCCTCAGCGCTTGGAGAGACGGACTGGGCCAGATCCCCGTGGGGCGAGGCGGGCAGAGAAGCAGGGTTTCCTAATAGGCCGGCTCCCCGCCTGTAAAGGTGACCTTGTGAGTGACCCATGCTATCGAGCTGACCTGCTCCCCTATTGGAACTGTAGTCCAAAATCAGAGCAACTGTATATTCCGCCTTTTCTCACTTGCTTCTTGGCTCTGCAACGGGCGCAGGCCCGGAGCTCCGCCCCCACCCACGAGAGTCCTGCGCTCAGGCTCCTGGGAGGTGCTGTTTCTGTCCCGCGTGCGCAAGCGCACGGGTGGACCCGTTCAAACCTGGGGTTCTCCGTGGGGCTGAGGATGCCCTTGCGGCGACACACGTTGAGGGCTGGAGGGTGGGATGAGTAAGGGGATGATGAAGAGGTTGGGCCCAGGATTCCAAGTTGGTCTAGGGTGTCCAGATCTTTAGGCTTTTTTTTTTTTTCCATACGTGGGCCTCTCACTGTTGTGGCCTCTCCCGTTGCGGAGAGATCTTTAGGCTTTTAAGAGTGATTGTGATATCCCAGTGCCCCAAGCATGGTCCCTCTGATATTTGCCAAGGGACTGGCGTTGGTGTGGTGCCCCGTGCGCCTGTGTGATCATGGATGGGGTTGTGTTTTCATGCATGGAGTTGTTTACTGAGTGTGTGCCACTCATTGGATGCTGGACTGAAATGGTGCCACAGAGAAATGAAACTAAGCAGGACCCTGTGGGGCCCTCCTGGCTGGAAAACCCTTTCAGTTTCAGCCTCCTACAACTTTCCAGAGTATCAAAGGGCAGATTGAAACAGTTGCTAATCAGAAAAGTGAGGCAATGCAGAAACAAAGGAGAAGCAAATCAAGAAATGACAGTGCAGGGACTTACCTGGTGGCACAGTGGTTAAGAATCCGCCTGCCAATGCAGGGAACACGTGTTTGAGCCCTGCCCCGGGAAGATCCCACATGCCACGAAGCACCTAAGCCCGTGTGCCACAACTACTGAGCCCGTGCCACAACTACTGAAGCCGGCGTGCCTAGAGCCCGTGCCCCACAATAGGAGCAGCTACCGCAATGAGAAACCTGCACACCACAACAAAGAGTAGCCCCCACTCGCCGCAACTAGAGAAAGCCACACGCAGCAATGAAGACCCAATGTGATGAAAAATAAATAGAATTAAATTTAAAAATTAAAAAGTGCAGCAGTAAAACAGAGTGCTAGTCCTTCCTCGAGGAATATACATAATAATATATCTTTGAGTTCTTCTGCAGGAACTAAACCGCCCCCCCCCCCCCCACCCATTTGGAGGATGGCAACTTCGGGCTGAGCACAAATGTCCTGGAACACTGTCCTGTTCTCTCATGACCAACCGATCAGAAGAAAGTCACACACCATGCAGCCCTCACCCCAAATTTTGCCTATAAAAACTTCTCCCAGAAAACCATTAGGGAGTTTGGGGTTTCTGAGCATGAGCCACCTGTTCTACTTGCTTGTCCCTGCAATAAACCTTTCTTTGTTCTGACATTTCGGTTTGGCCTCACTGTGCTTTGGGTGCACAAACTGGTGTTGGACGACAGAAGGTTGCATGCTATTACGCTGGACTGTGATGCCAGGTTTAGGGGTGTCTGGTAGTGTTGAGGAGGAGGAAATTTTCCTCCATGCTTCCAAGTTCTGTCTGGTCTTGTTACCTGAAAACTGGGTTTGCCTCTTGGTGGGTGTCAGGCCAAAAGACACAACCAAGCCAAAGGTCGGGAGAAGGAAGGAATTATTACTTGCAGCATGTAAGGAGAACACTGGGATCTTTCCCAATGTAGTGTCTCCCTAAACAGCAAAATTGGGGAAGTTTTAAGTTAAGGGTACATGCATATTCATAAAGGGGCTTGAGCAGAGGAGAATCCAACATAGAATTGGGGCAAAGGTCGATAGAGTCCAAGCTTTAGTTGACTGGTCAACATCATCATTCTGTCCTCCACCTCAGGTGGTGGGGCCTTAATTCCTGCAGAACTCAAAGATATGTTATTATGTATATCTGAGGCAGTAGATAGATGGGCTTCAGGCTAGGCATTTACAACTGACCTCCTGTTTACATTTCTTGGGGCAGAAAAAGATGCCTTCAGACTGAACACTTACAACTAGCCTCCTGTTTGCATTTCCTGAGACAGGAGCTAGGTGGGCTCCAGGTTAGATATTTACACCCAGTCTCCTGTTTGTACTTCGAAATAGAAACAACAACAGAAACAGGGTAAATAGCCAGGCTTTGTCTCCTGAGGACACTTGAAGATAACGGTCATGGCAGGAACAGAGAGGGGCTAAACCCTGTCTGAGTAAAGGATCAAGAAGTCATAGATTTCCCATCCTTGGGGCAACAGAGACATTGCACATGCACAGAAAGGCTCCTCAGTGTCAAAAAGGAGCGGTCACCACCCCAGAATAGGTGGTGCCAAGGCCTCCCACAGGCCTCTGGGCTGGAATCCATCTTGGAAAAAAGTTGCACACATATGTTGGGGAGGGTCCTAGGGCAGGTCAGTTGTGGAAAAAGAAACCATATAATTAGCCAAAGGTAAACAAGGACCCAGAAGAAGTGCCATATATAAATGATTTAACTGCCTCTTTACTGCACTCCTCATTAGAGAGGATGACCACATCCTTTCTCTCTGGGTGTGTATCTCTGCCCTGCTTCTGTCTTAACTAAACAAACTGTTTCTCTGTGTGCTCTCTCACTTGTGCTGTGTCTCTAATAATAAACTTTGTTCCTGTTTTTACAGTTTTTGCCTCCTTGAGAAAAGCATTTTTCAATGGAGGTAAGAGCCAGGGAAAATTTGCTTCTAGCCTCTAGCCCTTGCTGGTCTAGTGGCTAGGATTCCTGGTTTTCATCCAGGCTACCCAGGTTCAATTCCTGGGCAGGGAACTAAGATCTCGCTTCACGCCACCGCTCACTGCTGCTGCCTCTCCAATATCATATCCCTTGAGGAGGAGCTAGGACTCTGTTTTATCACTACACTATTGTTTGACTGCCTTTTCTCTGTTCCTACATTCCTTTGTTCCCTTAAGATCATTTATTACTTAGCCTGTTCAAGAGCAAGTATTGTGGCCAGGCTCAGATCACAAAATGGCTTAGGCCAAAATTGCACTTCTTATGTCAAGAAAGCCATTCCTGGTTCTCTTTCTCCAGGGACCCCTTACCCTATCTGCTTACAGTCTAAGAGTTAAGTTGACATGAGACAGGTTAACAGAATAAAATCAAACAAAATTTTAATAACATGTATACTTGGGAGAGATCCAGGAAAACTAAGTAACTTTCCAAAATAGCTGAAGCCCTTCAGCTAAAGACAAAAGAGGATGTTGGGAGTAATGGTTTGGGACTTCAAAGGGAAAGAAGGCAATTTACATAGAGATGGAAAAGCAAATATTTGGTAAGCAAATGTTTGCTGAGCTACTCAGAAACAATGGGACTTGTAGTGGACTCATCTCCAGCCCCTGCCAAGAGTTTCCCCACCACACTTAGCCCCCGTTCTTTGCAGATATCTCTGGTGAGATATCTGCTCTATTCTGGGAACAGCCCTTTATCTAAACTCTTTAGGCAGCTCAGGGGGAGGTAAAAAGAAAAACTTCCCGAGTCTTCTGTTTCTTAAAAATAATCTGCCTAAATTAATCCTCATGCCAAAGATACACATTTTGGGATGACAAAATTTGCTGCCCCACAGTTGCTTCCTTGTGAAGTGTCTGAGATTATGTGTATCTGTGAAGACTGTGCCCTGAAGGAAACCACAGTATGTCACCCTAACATATGCCTCTTTGACATAAAAATAGTTTTGAGGACTTCCCTGGTGGCGCAGTGGTTAAGAATCCACCTGCCAATGCAGGAGACAAGGGTTTGAGCCCTGGCCCAGGAAGATCCCACATGCCGCAGAGCAACTAAGCCCATGCGCCACAACTACTGAGCCTGCGCTCTAGAGCCCGCGAGCCACAACTACTGAAGCCCGTGTGCCTAGAGGCCGTGCTCCGCAACAAGAGAAGCCACCGCAATGAGAAGCCCATGCACCACAACGAAGAGTAGCCCCTGCTCACCTCAACTAGAGAAAGCCCACACGCAGCAATGAAGACCAAACGCAGCCAAAAATAAAAATAAATAAATAAATAAAAATTTAAAAATAGAACAGTTTTGAGCCAAGGGCAATTTAGAAGCATCAAATGCAGGAAAAGCTCTCTCTACCCTCCCCCATTTCTGCCTAAAAGCAGGATATAAATTCTCCTTTACTGGAGACAACTCTAGATTCTTAGCCCATAGATGGCACCAAAGGAATCTACAAATAAACTTTACTCCATTAGTTTCCTCCCACAGTTTGCCACCCTTGGAAGCTGAAAACTGCTTTTCTTTATCCTGTCATTTCTCTATAAATTTATGTTCTTTGTTGAAGATGCTATAAAAGATGGAGTTCTAAGCCATACTTTGAATTACTCTTGTTAAGGTTTTCCCATATGACATGTGCACACAAATTAATAAATTGTTTTTCTCCTGTTAATCTTTTTTAAAGGGCCCCTGCTGAGAACCTAAGATGGCTAGAGGTAAGATTTTTCTTCTCTTATAGCCCTATTGTGTGTTATTTCTGGGATGGTTTTGACAGGCCAGCACTTCTGGTTCTTGCTTTCCATGGGCACTGTGTTTGAGG